GACAGCATACAGGCAGCTGAACAGACAGATCTCCAAATGCATGCGGCGAGACTTACGCAACTTTAATACTGCTCGTATTAAAGAAGCGATCGAGCGGAACCAGGGCTCCAAAGTCTTTGCCAGAGATCTGTCTGCCAAAAGGAGCCAAGTGTCAAGGCTGAAGACTGAGTGTAGCAACATCGTTTCCGGGACACCTGAGATTCTGAGTGAGATTGAGAGGTTCTATGGGCAGCTGTACACATCATCGTTTGAGCCACACGCAAGAGTGAGTAACGATCAAAGAGCAAGTCTTATCCGACACTATTCCGATAATATCCCGGACGTCAGTCTGAGCGAGATTAGAATGGCTCTCCACCACCTTAAAAACGGCAAGGCCCCGGGCGAGGATGGAATTACAGCGGAGCTTTTCCGTCCTCCATGGTGGTTTTACTCCGGAGGCGTGGAGCAGAAGCGCGGTGGTCTTGTTCTTTAAGAAAGGCGACAACGCTCTCTTGAAGAACTACAGACCGATTTCCCTTCTGAGCCGCGTCTACGTGCTGTTTTCGAGAGTCATTACGAATCGTTTCGCACGCAGACTCGACGACTTCCAGCCTCCCGAACAAGCCGGTTTCCGAAAAGGCTTCAGTACCATAGACCACATACATACCCTTCGGCAAATTGTACAGAAGTCCGAAGAGTACAATCTGCCACTTTGCCTGGCGTATGCGGACTATGAGAAAGCCTTTGATTCCGTCGAAATTTGGGCGGTGCTACAGTCTCTTCAGCGGTGCCTAGTTGACTGTCGGTATATCGAAGTGCTGAAGTGCTTGTACAGTAGGGCTACGATGGCTATCCGATTACAGAACCAGAGTACGAAACCTATCCAACTGCAGAGAGGTGTAAGACAGGGTGATGTTATATCCCCGAAACTCTTCACCGTTGCGTTGGAAGACGTTTTCAAGCTACTGGACTGGAAAGGATACGGTATTAACATCAATGACGAGTACATCACTCACCTTCGCTTAGCCTTAGCACTATGCTCAATGACCTCAACGGTGTCTCCCAACGGATAGGTCTTAAGATGAACATGGACAAAACAAAGATCATGTTTAATGTCCATGTGACACCTATGCAGGTAATTATTGGGAGCACTATGCTCGTAGTTGTTGACGAGTACGTGTACCTGGGACAAATAGTCCGACTAGGTAAGTCCAACTTCGACCGAGAGGAATCGACGGATTAAACGGCGGGCACTCGAACCGTTCCAATCTCTGAAAACTAAAGTGTACAACCAGTGCGTGTTGCCAGTGATGACTTACGGATCTGAGACGTGGTCCTTCACCGCTGGCCGTATGAGGACGCTCAACGTCGCTCAGCGAGCTATGGAGAGGGCTATGCTCGGAGTTTCACTGCGTGATAGACTCAGAAATGAGGATATCCGCAGTGAAACCAGAATGACCGACATAGCCCAACGGATTAGTAAGCTGAAGTGGCAATGGGCCGGCCATATAGCTCGAAGAACCGATAACCGATGGGGAAGAAAGGTTCTCGAGTGGCAGCCTCGTACCGGTAGGCGTAGTGTAGGGCGACCCGCCACTAGATGGAGTGACGACCTGGTAAGACATGCAGGAAGTCGATGGATGCAGGTGGCTCAGGACCGTGCTTTGTGGCATTACTTGGGGGAGGCCTATGTTCAGCAGTGGACTTGTGAAGGGCTGTAATGATGATGATGATGATGATGTATGTCTGTATGTCCAGCCTTTTCTCCATGACTACCCACTGCCAGCCACTTGTGGTTGCAGTGGTAGAAGGCACCACGTGTGCACTTGCAAATATGGGAGTTTGGTTTCTGTGGATGGGATTTACTTTCACACGAATATAGAGCTTATGATAAAAGAACAAAAGGTTTTAAAAAAATATTTCGCATTTGCATATGAATTGCCATTAATATTTAACTGATCGATTTTAATTAAAGTGACATTAAATTAATAAATACAATCAACAATTTTAAATAAATGAATCCAGCAAAAAAGTGTAAAATTCGGTAAAATCATTTTATGTGGCATTAGTTAAAAAATAAATTTTAATCTTTGGACTGATTTTCCAATAATCAGATAAAAGTTAATCATAGAATTACAACATGAATTAAGCAAATATAAATGTACTGATGAGGAAACTAAAATTAAACCATAACAACATGGCTCTGGCCCAGACCATAAAGTCAAAACCGGCATCAGTTGTCCCTAGAAAATTATAGTTAGTTTGTAGTCACAAATCGTCGGATGTGAGTTTCTTAGATATGGAATGATGGGGCTAACATATCTCTAAATATAAGTGTTAAAAAAGTATTAAAAAATGATTAACTTTTATATTCAATCAGGTTATAATTTATTTGATGGACTTTCATCTGACGATTGAAAAATCAGCCTTTAGTTTAGATGTTTTATCTCACGAAGGCGGGCGAACACTATTATGATATGATTCTTGCTAAGCAGGGAAAACGGATGGTCCTTTGATGGGAAAGGTCACACTGAGGACTAAATCCCTATCCTAAGTTCTTAAGTACTAACATTATCATTAAGTTTTTATGGATACTAACTCCTAGGGCTACTTAGGTTGTCTGAATAGATAAATAAATGATAAAATAAAAATAAAATTGCGAACAACTTTTCTCCCTTAACTTTCGATCACTTTGATTTTAGCTTACGTCTTAGAGTATGTAATTACTTTGAGGCTTACGCACACTAAAACAATGTTCCAGTTTGTGAGAGAAAAATACTACACCTGTTCTTGTTTTTTGATAGAAATAATATGTAATCGTCCAAGATTATTATTACCTGTGTATTAGTATCTATTATCTGTATCATTAAACATTCGTTTGTTAGTTAAAAAGCTTTTTGCAATGACAACTTTGATGCCTTTCTAGTCAATTTATAATTATGTGTTTAATTACATGTGAAATTAAATGATCATTAATTTTATTGTAAAAATAATGTTTGTATACTTTTAGAAACAAAACTGTCTTCATGCGTTAAAAGAATAAAAGTCAGGAAATTCTGATGATAGTTTAATTGTTATGGCAATACTAATAAAACTATGTTCAGCATTTCCAAGAATGCGCTAACAGTTGTACATAACAACCTTGAAATAAGGTTTTAAGGAAGATGGCGTTATTCGTGCGCTAAAAATTTCCATCACCAGTCTGTGATATTTTTTTATTACCAAAATTTTTCATATGAAGATGGTCAATTCAGTCAACATTGGCAATATTTGTTTGGGTTGCCAACACGCCTGTAGCTTTTTTAAATATTTTAAGTGCTTAACAGAAAGATGCTGCCTTTCGTCGCCTTTTATTTTACTTACGGGATCATATGGGACATTGGATGCTCTTCTGCCGCTATAATTTAAAGGAAAAAAATGAAACTAAACACATTTCTTGTAGCGTATAAAAAAATATATAAAAAAAAACAAATATATATATATATATATATATATCAAATTGATTGCGATTCATGGGCAACAACGTTTTTGGCTACCGATCGTCCTTTACGAATTAAATTTTTTTAAATTAATTTTTCTTTACCATTTATGTATATTGCTTTTTCTGAACCTTCTCTGCAAATTTGGGCGGTTATTGCAAAATAACCCTGTATAAAATTTTATTGTACATTTCATGTGACTCCGAAATCATGCTCAACTTCTTGATACGCCTTGATATACTCACGCACCCCTCTTCTCCCTTGGTTTATCAGACTGTATAAGTTTACTTGATGACGCTTACATATTCACCTAAACACTACTCATACATGACGGGGTGCGCTGTGGTCTAATTATTATTATAAAATTTATATATCCGATGTAAAACATCTAGAATAAACAATTTGGAATGAAACTCATTGCGACACTTACCGCAAAGAGCTGAACAACGTCAGACCGACCAGCTATAGCGTTATAATAGGTATAAAATCCATACAAAAATCAAATAACTACACAAAAATAATATAACACAAAAATATAATACCTTTTGATTTTTTATTAATTTATTATTAAATAGATACAACACGTCTGACAATCACAAAGTAACTATATTTTTAAACTAGCTTTGGTGAAATATTAGGTTGTAGATAAATCTTCTGAGACAAGACATATGAAAAATTACCGATTATTGCAGTAATTTGTTAATTTTTAAGTTCTTACATAATAACTGGGAAATGCTTGCGATTTATGGTTAAATATTTCAACATGAAATTGTTGATTTTTTTTTTATTTCAGTTATAAAACAATTTAGTTAAAATATACCTAAGTAATTTAGTGTTAAATAAAAACTATATTTCATTAAAAGGATCCAATGATTTTAGAACAAAATATTCAATATTAATGTTTAAATTATAAATAACAGAATAAAAATTAAGTTGTGTAAAGTTTTAGGAGAAAATTGTGCCATAAAGCAGCAACCACTTACCATCAGGTGGACTGTGTGCTCGTTTGTCACCCAATCCTATAAAAAAGTGGTAAAATAGTGACTCAAAAATTTAGCTTATTGTGAGAAATAACTAAATCTCTACAAAGTATATAACAAAGTCGCTTCCCGCCGTCTGTGAACACTTAGATCTTTTAAACTACGTAACGGATTTTGATTTGATTTTCATCAATACGTAGAACGATTCAAGAGGAAGGTTTATATGTGTGATATGTGCATACTATAGCATAGAAAAGGCGAGAATTTCGAAGATTTGCCTGGCAGGTGGCGCTGCTGTTGAGATCTAAAAATCACCCGTGCTAAGGCGGTGCGGTTCGCTAGTATTCCGTAAAGCTTTATTAGGTAATAATATTGAGATGTTACATTGTCAGCAGATCCTTTTCCTTAACTGTAAAATGTCGCGCGCACTGTTAGTTTAGGCGGAAAATGTACATAGTAATGGTATTTAAGCCTACAACCTAACCTGCTGATTCTCTTAAAAATATCATTAACGGCAATAACAAAAGCGTCCTGTTTAAGTAAGCAATAAGCATGTGGTCCTTTAGTTGATTCTTGAGGGAATTAAAATGCAGATGAGGTTGTCACGATCTTCATTCTTCAATACCCATTTGACCACGACTTTCACTTTCGGGTACGATCTCAAAACTGGCTGCATCACCACGTAAGTCGCTTTTTGACCGGCCTGGAAAATATCAGATAAATTATATGTAATTTCACTTTAAGAGCGTTTATTCAAATTTTAAATATGCGCAAGTCAAAATCTACGTGTTCGCTTAGGAACGGCGTAATATTGACGCCCATTACAATGTTCTCTCTGTGTGTGTGACCTCGGCGTGATTGTAGGAGGTGGAGTGGAGAAAACAAGAGTACCTACAACTGATTTAGGAAATTAAATTGTGGAAGAACTTTCCCACAAGTCTTTTGCCTTTTATTAAATGTACTTATCTAAACAGCAGCGTTTAAGTTAGGTACTGTACTGATTACTAGTAATAAAATGAAATAATAAATGATCGTCGAATTAACGACATCGATGCATAGTGCAACCTGGCAATAGGCATCACATCAGGCAGTGAGAGAAAAAAAACGAGTCAAAATAATTAATATCTGTATCTTGTTATGCCAACACATTACGCGAAACGTTTAGAACTTTGATGTTGCCTATTTAGTCTGAGTTTGGTGAGAAAATTTGAAATAGTCAAAGCAAAAATATTTTAATTTAGTAAATTTTGCTGTCAAAATGATCGATCGATATACAGACTAAGGAGGTTAGAGAAAATTCGGAACATTTGACGGGATATTGTGAATTAAAACGAACACTAGCGGTGGCAGAAAAAGTGCTACGGCCTATTGTTGGGAAGACCCGGAGCCGTAGTACTATTATTTATTCTGTGCTGGAGCATAGATTACTGTTTATCCCGGAGCGTTTCAGTAATCGGACGGCGTCTGCGCGTGATAATTTGCAGTATTTTTAAAATAATCATATAAAATAATTGATTAAATAAAACGAGCTAAAAATAGTTTTGGATATTTACCATTACCTGCATTTTTATAAAATAATTAAAATAGATAAGTTCATATCTAAATATACGAAAAAAAAATACGTTTAATTGGAACGTTTTGGTAATTTTACAGTATTGTTGTTTAATATTAAATCGAAATATTTTAGTAACTTAGGCTTTGTGTTGCACTTCAAGACCATATATTCCATTATAATAACCCTATACCTTTAAACGAGCAATTCTCGTATATATATATATATATATATATATATATATATATATATATATATATATATATAGATTTATATTTATATTTATATATATATATATATATATATATATATCATCGGCATCTCGGAAACGGCTCCAGGTGTCCAGGGAATTATGGGGGCAATAAATCGATCTAGCTAGGATTTATTTTTAGAAAATGTCCTTTTGTCCATGTTTTCAGGCAATAAAAAAACTGCTACAATATAGCAGTTTTTTTATTCTTATAAGAAGGTAAATTTTGGCAGGTTACCAACGATCGGAATAGCTCAGATGGGGTTATGTTCGGGCGTGATATCAGAGTTCCGTGGTTCGTGCCCCGTCTCGGGTCTGACTTTTTTCCTATTTTTTTTTCAAGTTCCCTTCTTTTGTGAGAAAATTTATTATTTTGAGCCCTTTTTTTAGTATATTATAAAAATACGAAAATTTCAATTAAACCAATTGCACTCATGATTTTTATTCAAATAACCAGTTCAGTTTTTTCTATTATGTCAATAAGATCAAAAAATTTATAAATATTAAATTACATGAAATAAGATCAAAAATTTTATAAATATTAAATTACATAATAGATTCATGTAATTTGTATATAAATGTTACTTAAAAAAACCGACAAAGCTCGGTCATCCGGGTACTAACGCTTAAAATAAAGTATTTTAGCTGATAATAATGGTTGTGTTCCATCTAAAAAATAACTCTGACGCATATTTTCGTAAAACACTATGAAGGGATTCCCTTTGCTCTAAAATACCGTCATTAAAAATTATGATGTTGCTTTGTGTAGTGCACGAAATAAATACTTCATCTTTATAAAGCCGTAATTTTCTGCAAATAATCTGCTCACATCGTTAAGATATTGCCCTTGAAAACACCCGAAAACATGAAGTTTTCGACGCGAATCGCTTATGCCCTATGTAAATCTACTGAAATGTAAATATTATTTTTATATAAAGTCATATTGAGAACACATTTTATGAAGTTCTTCTAAAGTTTAGTAAAGTTTTTATCTTATAAAATACAATAAATTGAACAGTTCCAGTGGTTATGGCCGCACCGGCAAGTCCCTGCCGAGACGTTTCCGAAGTTGGACATACTCGTACGTTGTTCTAAAATTAAATAGGGTTAGATCCCCGCCGGTTCTAATGAAATTGTTGATTGCAATTTGAAGTGCTCATTTTTTTCGTGAGGAAACCTGCATATCTGAAAATAAGAAAAAAAAATATTTCGAAGACATGTTAAGTTCGCCAACCTGCATTGGGAGAACGCGGTGGACATTTTCTTACAACGAAAATCAATGTCGAGCCACTTAAGTCTTGAGCAAAATTGCGATATGTGATCAAACTTGCACAGGCCAAAAATATAGCGTATGTACAAGTTGCTATTCAACTTCTTAGTTATATTTTAAAATAAACAACTCCACTATATTTGACATTATCCTGATGAAGTCCCGACATCAATGTAAATGAGATTAGAATGGATGTATCTCAAAAATTGCCATTATGAGGGGCAAAATTAGAGCATAGCATTGAGCAAGTGAGTTAAGAAATAGTTCTTATTGTCCGTCAGGTAGTTTTAAAAAAATACTACAACGTCCTTATGAAGAACTACGTCTGATTTATCTTCTAAATAGCATTTAAGTGCTGTTTTCGAAATTCATCACCATATACCATTAAAGTTGAATATCGTTTTAAGCTTAAAATCAAACCGCGCTCCAGGCTGGGACAATATCCCCAATGACTTCATGAAATTGGCAGTCAATGACTTGGCTCCTATTATTTCCCCACTTAACTATTCTATGTTTCGATACAGGGATATTCCCTGCACAATTAAAACAGTCTGTTATTACGCCTGTATACAAGGGCGGCCGTGTAGTGGCGGTTGAGAATATCCACTACCCCATATCTTCCCATGGGTGTCGTAAGAGGCGACAGAGGGACACAGAAAGGAGATGAGCAGCAGCGTTTTCCTAATAACAACAATAACATAATAAAAAACTGCGGTTGCCGACCCGCTCGCCAAGCGTTGCAACTATGGCAAATATCCCCCATGAGCAACGACGCAAACAAACGGCCCCCAGTCTCCGGCGGCCCCGCTATTCCTGGCTACGGTGGCGACCGTGGTTACGGCGGGGCAGGGGGTGCTTAGAATCTCCGGTGGAGGTTCGGTGCCACCTACGACGACTCGACCTGGCAACGTATAACGCAGGCATCCTGAGGACTGACTGAAGATACTGGAGCTTGAAGAAGTTTTAGACAAGTTGCGCTGGCATATTATTGGATTATCTGAGGTCCGAAGAGAGGGGGAGGACACGGTAATCCTCGAGTCCAGCAACTTGTTCTATCACCGGGAGGGCGACCATCTGTCCCAAGGAGGTGTCGGATTTATCGTCCACAAGTCTCTCGTCAACAACGTTGTAAAGATTGAGAGTGTGTCGACGAGGGTCGCGTACCTGATACTCAGAATCACCAAACGGCATTCGCTGAAGGTCATACAGGTCTACGCTACAACCTCGGCACATCCCGATGAGGAGGTGGAGGAAATGTATGAGGATATTTCTAGAGCCATGCATACCTCCAAAGCCGTGTAGTGGACACGATGTTGATGGGAGACTTCAACGCAAAACTAGGCACAAGAGAAGGCGGTGAGCTGAAGTTAGGGAAATTTGGAGCAGGGCAACGAAACCGTAGGGGCCAGCAGCTGGCTGACTTTATGGAGAAAGAGGGACTCTTTATGATGAACTCTTTCTTCCAGAAGCGGCCCCACAGGAAGTGGACCCGGTCGAGCCCCGACGGTTCGACAAAAAATGAGATTGACTTCATTATGACGACCAGGCGCCAACTGTTCAGTGATGTCACAGTGATCGCAAGGGTAAAAACCGGCAGCGATCACCGAATAGTGCTCTAATCCAGAATCTCGAAACCCTTCAGCTCGAGGTACATAACCGCTTTCAGTGCCTAGAAGATTGCAATGCAGTGGACGATATGAATGACAAGCACGTGGAAACTGTCCATGCGGTCGAAGCTAAGTTCTGCAAGACCCGCCGCAGAAGAACACAAAAACTCTCCGATCACACTCTTAATCTCATGGCTGTTAGACGGGAGATGAGGCTGCAATCTTCAAGAGATTTGACAGCATACAGGCAACTGAACAGACAGATCTCCAAATGCATGCGGCGAGACTTACGCAACTTTAATACTGCTCGTATTAAAGAAGCGATCGAGCGGAACCAGGGCTCCAAAGTCTTTGCCAGAGAGCTGTCTGCCAGTAAGAGCCAACTGTCAAAGCTGAAGACTGAGTGTGGCAGCATCGTTTCCGGGACACCTGAGATTTTGAGTGAGATTGAGAGGTTCTATGGGTAGCTGTACACATCATCGTTGGAGCCACACGCAAGTGTGAGTAACGATCCAAGAGCAAGTCTTACCCGACACTATTCCGATGATAACCCGGACGTCAGTCTGAGCGAGATTATAATGGCTCTCCAGCACCTTAAAAACGGCAGGGCCCCAGGGGAGGATGGAATTACAGCGGAGCTTCTGAAAGCGGGTGGAACACCGGTACTTGAAGTCCTTCAGAAACTCTTCAATTCCGTCCTCCATGGTGGCACTACTCCGGAGGCTTGGAGCAGACGTGCGGTGGTCTTGTCCTTTAAGAAAGGTGATAACGCTCTCTTGAAGAACTACAGACCGATTTCCCTTCTGAGCCGCGTCTACGTGCTGTTTTCGAGAGTCATTACGAATCGTCTCGCTCGCAGACTCGACGACTTCCAGCCTCCCGAAGAAGCCGGTTTCCGAAAAGGCTTCAGTACCATAGACCACATACATACCCTGCGGCAGTTTGTACAGAAGACCAAAGAGTACAATCTGCCACTTTGCCTGGCGTATGTAGACTATAAGGAAGCCTTTGATTCCGTCGAAATTTGGGCGGTTCTACAGTCCCTTCAGCGGTGCCAAGTTGACTGTCGGTATATCGAAGTGCTGAAGTGTTTGTACAGTAGGGCTACAATGGCTATCCAAGTACAGAACCAGAGTTCGAAACCTATCCAACTGCAGAGAGGTGTAAGACAGGGTGACGTTATATCTCCGAAACTCTTCACCGCTGCGTTGGAAGACGTTTTCAAGCTACTGGACTGGAAGGGATACGGTATTTACATCAATGGCGAGTACATCACTCACCTTGGACTTGCCGACGATATAGTTCTTATGGCAGAATCGCTGGAGGACCTTAGCACTATGCTCAATGACCTCAATAGTGTCTCCCAACGGATAGGTCTTAAGATGAACATGGACAAAACAAAGATCATGTTTAATGTCCATGTCACACCTATACCGGTAGTTGTTGGGAGCACTATGCTCGAAGTTGTTGACGAGTACGTTTACCTAGGACAAATAGTCCGACTAGGTAAGTCCAACTTCGACCGAGAGGTCAATCGACGGATTCAACTCGGCTGGGCAGCGTTCGGGAAATTACGACACATCTTCTCGTCAGGTATACCTCAATCTCTGAAAACTAAAGTGTACAACTAGTGCGTGTTGCCAGTGATGACTTACGGATCTGAGACGTGGTCCTTCACTGCTGGCCGTATGAGGACTCTCAACGTCGCTCAGCGAGCTATGGAGAGGGCTATGCTCGGAGTTTCTCTGCGTGATAAACTCAGAAATGAGGATATCCGCAGTAAAACCAGAGTGACCGATATAGCCCAACGGATTAGTAAGCTGAAGTGGCAATAGGCTGGCCATATAGCTCGAAGAACCGATAACCGATGGGGAAGAAAGGTTTTCGAGTGGCAGCCTCGTACCGGTAGGCGTAGTGTAGGGCGACCCCCCACTAGATGGAGTTACGACCCGGTAAGACATGCAGGAAATCGATGGATGCAGGTGGCTCAGGACCGTGCTTTGTGGCATTGCTATTCTTACCTGAATATGTAGTATAGTATGCCGTAATCGTTACAGCCTTTTTAAGTCCACTGCTGAACATAGGCCTCCTCCTTAGATGGCCTCAGAGGGGGGGATATTTGTCATAGTTGCCGCGCAAGGCTAAGCCCAAGCGGGCTGGCAACTGCAGTTTTTTATTTTTAATCGTTATTAGGAAGACGCTGCTGTCCATCTCATGATTTGTCTCCCTCTCTCTTACGACACTCGCAGGATGATATGGGGTAGTGGATATTCTTACACCGCCAATACACGGTAAATGTGGTAACAGTATGTTATACAATACAGTACCAGTATATTATGTTATGTACTCTGAGATGCTACGCCTTTAAAAATATTATAGTATTGTACTTATGTATGTAGTATTAAATAGGATCTGGTCTCGATGATGTTGGTGCTGTTCGCCTATGCGGCTCTTACAGCTTCTTAGGACTCGTGGGGGAAGCCTACGTTCAGCAGTGGACTTGTGAAGGGCTGTAATGATGATGATGATGGTGATACAAGGGCGGAGACAGAGATGACATTATTAATTACAGATCAATTTCCGTTCTAACAGCAATATTAAAATTCTGGAAAAGTTACTTAATATAAGATAACTCAATTACTTAAATAAATTTGATATATTAGCATCCACACAATTTGGCTTCAGACAAAGAAGATTGACAGAAGATGCAATTCTTGAATTAAGCACATTTGTAACAGAACAACTCGATCACATTAAAAAAGTTTGTCGATCTTCCTTGATCTGTAGAAAGTATTCGACACTGTCTCTGTCCCTACCCTTATGCACAAGCTTGAAAAAATTCGAATCAGAGGGACTCCGCTTGCTCTTTTCGAAAGCTACCTATCGGAGAGAAAACAAAAGGTAAAGCTTCCTGGGTTTACCAGTGTGGAAGCGGGGTGTCATCATATGGCGTTCCACAGGGTAGCATTCTGGGGCCGATCTTATTTCTAAATTATATCAACGACCTGTGCAGTATGACTATACCAAATGCTAAAATCCTGTCTTACACCGATGACACGGCTGTGGTTTTTGCTGATGAATCTTGGAAGGCTATTAAGACTATTGCTGAAAGTGGTCTAGCTCGAGTCGCTCTGTGGTTGCAACACAATCTCACTTTGAATACAGCTAAGACAAATTTTATTTGCTTTAGCATTACCAACAACTCGCAGCCATAGAATGACTTTTGCCTTAAAATTCATACATGTTTTGAGGATGCTAAAACCAAAGCTTGTGACTGCCAATCAATTGAAAAAGTCTCTCACACTAAATATCTGGGCTTCGTTGTATCTTCGATACCCACACCTCGAGCATGTTATTAATAGGCCCCGAAAATTGATTTGGATGTTCAAAACCCTAAGACATGTAACCTGATAGTAATAAGCAGTCGGACTCTCCCAGATATCTTCTTAACCAAATATACACGTCCCTTGTACAATCTATCATAACATATTGCATTCCGGTGAGGGGTGGAGCTGCAAAGACCAAATTTTTTAACTTGGAAAGAGCCCAACGAACCCTTATTAAAGTCATGTATTTAAAAAAAAAGATGTTTTTCCACTGAACAACTGTATAGAATAAGTGGTCTACTCTCAGACAATTACATGTTATTATGACAATCCTCAAAGCAGACAAATCCCTGCCCTTTGACCCATGCATCTTGAAAAAGCGGCGAAAAGATGTTGTGGTTGTGCCTTCTGGTACCAAAACAGTTTTTGCTAGTGGGCAATTTTGCCCATGTTCTCCATTCCTATATAGTAAAATAAATAGAGAATTGAACATATACGAAAAAAACAGGGAGTGTAAAAACCCGATACTAAATTGGTAGCAGCCGAAAACCTATGAAGAAATCGAATTTGAAAAAAAGGAATTCCCTTGAAGAATATTATATCAGCTGCTACTGATGGTGCTCCAGCTATGACGGGGTGTCAAAAAGGATTCATAGCGTACTTAAAAATTAAAATTTTAGATGTGTTTGCTGTACATTGCGTTATACATCGACAACATTTGGTTGCTAGAAATTTAAGTGATCGACTGTTTCAATCATTGACGACGACGAAACAACTCTTTAAATTACAGATTATTTAATCAGCTTTGTGTTACTAATGATGAACCGATTAATCTTTCACACAGAAGTCCGTTGGCTATCCAAAGGAAATTGTCTGAATCAAGAAATCTAATGCACGATGAAATCGTTTGCATGTTATTGAATGCGGTGACTTACGGCTGTTTTTGAATAAAATCGAACCTGATATCGACAAACTTGTTAAAAATCATCAAATTCATCCATCTCATTAGATTATTGTTAAAACTAAAACTGATTATATATCTATATTGTTTCTTTTAATTTGATTTAAATATATTCTTAATATATTATATAAAGTTGCGTTTCAATTGCTCTTACTGGTAGTAATGTCTAGTCTAGAATGTAAGTTCAAACACCAGAACCGACTAATATAGCACACCATAACTAAACTTAATCAAAGTAATGAAATTGTGGTTTTTAAGTTTTAGAAGTGTAAAAATAATTGATTTTACAAGAGGACAATAAAAAAGACACAAAAAAATTGATTTTCCAAGAGGGAGGTAAAATAAATATGTTTGATAATCTCTGTAAACGTAATACGTAAACAAATATCATCATGATATTTTATATTTACATGACTACTTAACATTGAATAAAACTAATTTTACATATTTTATTGCGTTTAATTTTAATTAATTTAGTTTAATCAATAACAAACATAGTTATTACTTCATCCATGGGAAACCATGCGGAAGGGTATATATTTTGTAAGTTATTTACTTTGTCTTTATTTAAATTTTTAATGGCTTTGAAATAAGCGTTAAAACGTAAACAATTGTTTTCGATGTCGTTTTCACGTTGGGCAGAAATTACTAAGCAAGATCAACTTTACAACCGACCAACAATGGAAAAGAAAGGGTTCTGAGTGGCAGCCTGCTTGTAAACGGAGCGAGGTGATCCCGCACCAAATGGAGAAGGAGATCGAATGACCTGGTAAAACATGTAGGATGTTGATGTCACCCAAATGACTTAAGACCGTAACAGTCATTGCGGGATGGCCTATGTTCAGCAATGGACTTGTGACGGGTTGTAATGATAATTCAAATACAATTAATTGAAAATATTTAGTCGTCGTCAGGGAACTCGCCTTGACCAAAAGTCGTCTTGCCCACAACAAATCGAGGTCTTGCTCCGCCCCTGCATATAATAAATATATTTTTTGTAAACTTAACAAACCTTCAAAGGGCACGTGAGTACGTTGTTTTTACAGCCGTCGGTTTGTGGTAGCGGGAACGGCGTTGCTATGTTCATGACTAAACCGTGTACTACAGTTTCTATGGCTTTTACGTCCTTTGCTGGAATAATAAAGTTGTTATCAGTTTAGTAAGTAACTCTAGTAAAATGAAATGAACACGCTTTATTTTACGATGTAAATATTATAATTAAATCATATTTAAATTTAAAAAAAAATAAGTGATATTTATTCTGTAAATATTAGCCATAGACAAAAGCTAGTAGTATTCTGTGAGAACGTGGTTCTTTCTCGATCGAGCTGACCTATTCTTGCTAAAACTATAATACACCAGCATCATGGCTCTTCCATGTAAAACACTATCCATCAATCACGTAAGAGAGAAGAAAAATATCACTTTAACTAAGTAAGCTTAAAAAAAGTGTTAGAAGTGGTTTCTTACAGCAGTCAAATGGCTGATTCTACCTTTTTATTATTGTTACGAGTTTAAGGTTCGTGACAATAATAACTGCCGATTGAATTATCAAAATTGACATCTTAATTACTGAACGCCAATTAAAACTTAAATCACACTAATAATAAATCGCGCTTAACACTTTAGTTCACTTTATTTCGCTTCGAAAGCTTCGCTCTCGTATCTCCTATTCAATAATGCCACGGTCGTGGCCCTCAACGCCTTTAAATAGGCATTTTCTACCTAAACATCAAGAATATTCCAGTAAATACCGGCCGCCGACCGACTAGGTATAGAAAGTTCGAGTGTGAAGCTTTCTAGAAAGCTTAGTTCTTCCATTCGATAATAGATAGCGCTAATCGGAGAGTTCTAGAAAGATCTTGACGCTCCTATTTCTGCTGCTTGATACTAGATGGCGCTAATAATCAGCTGCCACATACCAGGTGCTAATTATAGCGCGCAACACTGCCCCCTCCTAAGAAATGCTCGTCCCGAGCATTATCGACCCAATAGTAACACGTCAGTCGATCCACATGGACGATCTTAGGAGTACCTCTTGCGCCTTTCCGTATCCGGTAGATTACGTCGTTGATCCTGGTCACAATCCGATACGGGCTGTCCCATTTAGCTTGAAGCTTAGGAGATTTCCCTTTGCTGCGAACTGGATTGTGCAACCACACTAGTGAACTTTCGTCCAACCCTTTGTTGTTCATTTTGCGGTCATACCGGGTTTTCATCATTTTCGGACATTTGCTGGCCCGATTGTCTGACGTGCTCATAAATGTCATTCATTTTTTTCCGCAAGTCATTTGCATAATCGGTTATACTGCGTGGAGCATCCACCACCATATATCAGGTGGTATCCCAGTGGTCAGGTTTTCAGGAAGCCGTAATTCTCTTCCAAAGTTAGCGAAGGCTAGTATCACCGATGTACTTTCGTGAACAACGCTTCGATATGACAACAAAAACGGTTGTATGTGATTGTCCCAATCTCGTTGCCCATTTTCCACAACTTTTGCTAGGTACCTCTCCAATGTCTGATAAAATCGTTCTACCATTCCATCAGATTGTAGGTGGTAAAAAGTTGCTCTTGTTTTTATAAGTACCCATAACTCGGCAAGTTTCCTGGAATACTTGAGAATTAAAATTCCTTCTTTGATCACTGTGAATCTCTCAAGGTACTCCAAACTGATAGAAGTCTTCATATACTAGTTTATCTGCAACTAGGTTACCTTTCCGGTTTTGACAACGACTTGCTGAAGTACGCTCTCACAACCTCTTGATCACCATTCCGTTGAGACAACACACTGCCAAGTCCTGTATCACTTGCGTCTGTGTCAACTATAAATTCCTTGCCTGCATCAGGGTACCCCAAAATAGATCTTTTGCACAGACGGTCCTTGAGCTTCTGAAATGCGATATCGCTTTCATCTTTCTTCCCAGCACTTTCATCCCAGCAGAACTGCCGCATCTTCTCAGTTAGCTTGTTCAGAGGTTTGGCTATATCTGCAAAGTTCTTCACAAATCGCCTATAACAGGAGCACAAACCCAAAAATGCTCTAAACTGCGTCTTGTCTTTTGGAACCGGCCAATCCTTGACAGCGGCGATACCTTCTTCCGACACTACATACCCCAAAAAGTTAACTTGCAATTTGAATAGTGAGCATTTCTTCGGACTCAACTTGAGGTTGGCACTCTGAATCTTCATGAACAAGCGTTCCAGGTTTTAGAGGTGTTCCTCAAACATACGTCCTAAGCTGATGTCATCCAAGTAGACCAGACAGGCAACGCTTATTAGCCCGGTAAGTACAAGTTCCATAAACATTTCAAACGTTGCTGGAGTGTTGCATAATCCAAACGGCATAACTTTAAATTGCCACGGACCCTTTCTCGTCGAGAACGCAGTTTTCTCCTTATCCTTAGAGTCAATTTCAACCTGCCAGTAGCCATTTGTTAGATACAGCGTGCTAAACCACTTTACTCCTGTAAACATTTCCAGCGTGTTATCAATTCTTGGCAAGGGATAGCTGTCCTTCTTTGTAACGTCATTCAGGCGGCGGTAGTCACCACAAAACCGCAAGCTGCCGTCCTTCTTCTTTACCAGCATCACGGGTGAACACCATGGACTAGATTACGGTTCAATAACACGATCCTTCACCATTCACTCAATCATGGTTTCCACTTCCTTTTCGCGTGCTACTGGCAATCTTCTTGGCCTCTGGCGGATAGGCAATTCTTCTCCTGTGTTTATTTTGTGTTGAACTAAGCCGGTCTTTCCTATGACAGCACCGTTTGACGAGAATACATCGGCGTACTTGAGTAACAACTTCGTCGCCTTGACCATTTATTCGGAGAGAGAACGCTGCGACAGTCTTCTAAAAGTGTGGTCACTCTCGTTTGTGCATCCTTGCTGGGTGCCTCACTCGATAGATATTGGCACCGACACAACTAATCCACTTCCTCACAAGTACCAACCAGGGTATCTTTTTCTATAATCTGTTCCTGGTCACAAAGGTTTAGAACACGTACTCCTGAGATGTCAGTGGTTCTGACCAAGGTTCAAGCTACTTTCCATGGAAGGTCATTGTTAACCCTTTCCACGAGTACACAACGGTAGGCTTGCCCAGAGTTTCGAGGAAGACTAACCAGCACAATCATTTCCAATCTCGGTGGAAGAACAATCTTCTGAAGGTTGTGCACGTTCCCTAGTAACGCCCCTTCGACAAAAGCTCCTCCTGTCCACATTTCGGAACACCTTGCTTAACGTCGATCTCACAACATTTATTCCTCACAAAGTCTAGGCCCAGGATGCAGTCGTCCATTAAATCAGCCACGATGACATTATGCAGTAGATCATGTTGTCTAGCTTCAATTCCATCTCCTTCTCTCCTCGGACGGGTATGCACTGACCGGTGGCTGTTACAAAATTATTGCGTTCTTGATTGTATGCGGAGTCTCCAAGGAACTGTCTTATAAGTTGGGAACCGACAACCGTGCGAGAGGCTCCAGTGTCTATGGTCAGTTCATACGGCATTTCATTGATCTCGCCCTTGATGATTAGGCTGTTTCCATCGTGGGTTGGTGAGATCGAAATCCTTGGGGCTCCTTTAACATCAACCAGCACCCGCCCCGCAGTCCTGGCTTTTACTCATTTCCCTGCAGCTGCTGGGTGGTGCTGGTAGCCGCACTACCCTCTCAAGATCTATCACCTTCCCCTTCTACAGTTTGCTTAGGGCAGCTGGATCGAATATGGCACCTTTCTCCACAGCCATAGCACCTAGAGCTGTATCCTTTATTGCGGTCGTTAACTATAGCAGCCGCAACCTTCCTGACGCGGTGGGAGTGAAGATCCTGCCGTACGGATTTCATCTCCAGTGCCCCATGCACTACCCAAGGCGTTCTTAAGCTTCTTGTGTTGCCCGAGCCTCACAGCAGCTCTGACTTTAAGTTCACGGATGCCGTCGATGAATGTCTGCACCAGGTTTCCTTCAATAAGCGCAGGTACAGACATGCACCGCACCGCATCAAGGGCCCACTACTGCAGATTTTCGTTGCTGCATGGCACGCGATCTTTAAGCTGCGCAAGAAAGACGTGTTCCAGGTGCACGTCGTCATATCTCGCCTCCAATGCCTCAAGGAGCTGCTCGTAAGTCACTTTCTTATCGAGAGCTTCCAACACAGTTAAGGCTTGCGTCGGGCAGGCCTAGAGTGAGTGCAGTCATGGCCTGACTTTTATTCCAGCCGTTCGCCTCCATGACAGCCTTGAACTGGATTTTGTAGACTGACCAGGAAGAAGTCCCGTCAAACGGCGGCACTTTGAATCCACGTAGAGAAGGTGTTGTAGCTATTTCGGGAACTGTAATTCCATCCCCCAGTTTGAGGTCGTCCAGCGTTTTCTTCACGTCCGCCATAACGTTGTCAACCCGATTGTTCACTTAGTCGATTCGGGTTTCTGTTTCCTTGATTCGGGTTTCAGCTTCCGACAGGCGGTTGTCATGTTGAGCACCCCTATCTTTCACCTCCTTTATCTCCTTCCCGAAGGTAGTGTGAAGGTCCTCCATGAGTAGCATCTGCTCTTCCAACCAACGGGCCTGTTCCTCTTGTCCGCCCTGCAGCTACTCTTCCAATTAGCGTGCCTGTTCCGCCTTCTGACGGGCCTGTTCCTCCTGCTGCTCTTTCAACCAACGGGCCTGTTCCTCTTGTCCGCCGGGCAGCTGCTCTTCCAATCGGCGCACCTGTTCCGCCTGCTGGCAGGCCCGTTCCGCGTAATGGCGGGCCTGTTCCTCCTGTCGGCGGGCCTGTTCCTCCTACTTCTCTTTCAACTAATGCGCCTGTTCTTCCTGTCGGCGGGCTTGTTCCTCCTACTGGCGAGCCTGTTCCACCTGCTGCTCATTCAACCAACGGACCTGTTCCTCCTTTTGGCGAGCCTGCTCCCGCATCATCATCATGAGAGCACCTAAGTCAGATGCTGCAGGTGTAGGAGCTGCTGACGAGCCAGCCTTCGTGACTGGCAGTTGGCCCTCCGACGTCTGCGGCGTTGCACCACCAAATTTTCTCTGGTCTGTCTCCTGCTGGCGTTGACTTCGGGTACGGACATCCTCCGTGTCATCCTTCGGTAAAATTGGCATGATTTGATGCCACTTCTGACACCAATTGTTACGAGCTTAAGCTTCGTGACAATAAAAACCACAAATGTAATTACTAAAATTGACACTTTAATCACATAACACCAATTAAAACCAAAATCACACTAATAACTAATCACACTTAACACTTTAGTTCACTTTATTTCGCTACCAAAGCTTCGCTCGTATCGCCGATTCAATACTGCCCTAGTCGCGGCCCTAAACTGCTTTAATAGGCCTTTTCCACCGAAACATCCAGGATATTCCAGTAAATACCGGCCCCAACCGACCAGGTGCAGAAAGTTCGAGTGTGGAGCTTTCTAGAAAGCTTAGTTCTTCCACTCGATACTAGATGGCGCTAGTGGGAGAGTTCTAAACCGATCTTTACGCTCCCGTTTCTGCTGCTTGATACCAGATGGCGCTAATAATCATCAGCCACATACATGGCGCTAATTATAGCGCGCAACGTTATTTTATAAAACAAAACTTCCACACCAGGATTTTCTTATGTGTTGTAGGGGCAGTTTACATACATAAATTACACGCAGCCAAACATCCCGATTCAGATTTTTATTAGCGGTACAAATACTTGTTCCGTGCAGAATTTGAACCCTTGACCCTCAGCGCAGCGATGCTAAGCCCCTGCGAGGAAGAATTACTTTTATTATGAAACTGCTGAATCACTACTAAGTTATTACTAACAAGGCGTGAAGTCGAGGTTCATTGTGCAGTTAGTGTTTCTTTTGATCACGCATTCTTTGGCTGTCTCCGCGCATCCGCAAAACTGCACTTTTTCGAGGGTCGCTAATTTTGAACCTGAAAAAGAAATTAATATTATGGTTTGTTATATTTACGCGAACTCTACACATTTAATTAAACAGATATATACATATTAATATTTATTTTAATAACATTTAGTTAAACAGATATATAATATATACATACATTTAATTAAATAGATTAAACGGATTTTATCTCGTTTAATTTATATGGTTTTTAATTCCCCACGTTTCAGGTGCTTTCCAGCACCTACTCGTATGGTCACGGGGGAATGAGGTGACTGACGTCCCGATTTCTGTGTTAACCCGGAGTAACTTCAGCTTTTTTATTAATATTTATGGTCCGATCTACGCAGATTGAACTCACTGTGTCTTGCAGTGGTATGCTTGGGTTTAGTTTTAATTTTATAAATTTTATAAATTCTGAGGTCAATAGAACGCCGTAACTGACCCTACGATGAGAACTGACCACCGTGCGAAGTCCAGTGTCTATACACTGGACTTCGCACGGTGGTCAGTTCCCAACTTATAGGTCAGTTCCTTGAGGACTCCGCATACAAGCGAGAACGCATTAGTTTGGTGACAGCCACCGATCAGCGCATACCCGTCTATGGAGGGAAGGATATAGAGTTGAAGCTAGGCAACATGATCTACTGCATAATGTCGTCGTGGCTGATAGAATGGATGATTGCGTCCTGGACCTAGACTTTATGAGATCGACGTTAATCAAGGTGTTTTGAAATGTGGACAAAAACACAAAGACAAAAACGATTGTGTCGGTTAGTCTTCCTCGGAAATATGGGCAAGGTCATCGTTGTGTACTCTTAGAAAGGGTAGACAATGAAATACCATCGAAAATGGTCAGACCTTGGTCAGAATCACTGACATCAAAAGAATACGTGTGCTGAAACTTTGTGATCAGGAATAGATTATAGAAAAAGGTACACTGGTTGTTACTTGTGAGGAAGTAGATTGATTGCATCGACTGGAACTACCAATATCTATTGACTGGGACCCTCGGCACGGATGCACAAAAGAGAGTGACCACACTTTTAGAAGACTGTCACAGCGTTCTCTCCCCGAATGAAATAGTCAAGGCGAAGAAGTTGTTACTCATGTACGCCGATCTTTTCTTGTCAAACGATACTGACATAGGAAAGACTGGCTTAGTTCGACACAAAATAAACACATGCGAAGAATTTCCTATCTATCAGCGGCCAAGAATATTGCCGGTAGCACATGAAAAGGAAGTGGAAACCATGAATAAGGGAATGGTGAAGGATGGTTTTATTGAACCTCCATCTAGTCCATGGTGTTCAACCGTGGTGCTGGTAAAGATGAAGGACGATAGCATGCGGTTTTGTGTTGACTACTGCCATCTGAACAACGTTACGAAGAAGGACAGCTATCTCTTGCCAAGAATTGATGACATGCTGGACATGCTTACGGGAGTAAAGTAGTTTAGTGGATTATGCAATGCTCCGGCAACGTTTTGAGGGTTGATGGTACTTGTACTTATCGGGCTAATTGGCCTATCTGGTCTACTTAGATGATATTGTCATCGTAGACCGTACGTTTGAGGATCATCATCAAATCTGGAACTTGTGCTCATAAAGATCCAAAGATCCAACCTCAAGTTGAGTCCGAAGAAATGTTCACTATTCACTATTATAATTTTTGGGGTATGTAGTATCGTAAGAAGATATCTGCTCAGATCCAGAGAAAATCGCCGCTGTCAAGGATTAGCCGGTTTCAAAAGACAAGAAGCAGTTTAGAGAATTTTTGGGTTTGTGCTCCCATTATCGGCGATTTGTAAAGAACTTTGCAAACAAAAGTAAAACTCTGCAAGATCCTAACCGATGAGAAGCAACATTTCTGCTGGGATGAAAGTTGCGATATCGCATTCCAGAAGCTCAAGGATCATCTGTGCAAAACACCTCTTTTGGGGTATCCGGATGCGGGCAAGGAATCGATAGTTGACACAGACGCAAGTGATATAGGACTTGGCGGGTGTTGTCTCAATGAAATAGAGATCAAGAGGTTGTGATAGCGTACTTAAGCAAGTCGTTATCAAAGCCGGAATGGAACTATTGTGTCGCAAGACGGGAATTGCTTGCTGTGGTAAAGTCGTTGCAGCATTTTAAAGAAATTTTTTCTGGGGCGGAAGTTTTACTTACGAATTAAGCATGCTGCAGTGAAAGGGCTATTGTAGATCAATAACCCAGAGGAACATGTTGCGAGATGGATTGAACTACTGCAGATATACGACTTTGTGATCGAAGTTCGCAGCGGGAAAATATCATCGCAACGCAGATTCATTGTAAACAAGACTTTGTCTTGAAGATTGCAAACATTGTACTAGGCAAGAGGGCAAGGAAGTGGTATCTGTGAGGATGCTTAGGACAGACTACCTCAGCAACGAGTAGAAGGACAGCCTACATCATGCATAGCAGGAAAATTCGGACATCAAGCCGATTCTAGAATGGATACGTATCTGTTTTAGGTGTCTTTTGGAAGAATGAATATTCGCTAGAGCAATTGAAAGCTGTTGGTAGTGCCTTATAGGCTAAGTGAACCCCGTTCACGAAGACAGGGCTCGAGAAATGTTAAGAACATAAAACGTCCCAATTCCACTTGTATCAGGTTTACATTATTAACTTAATAATATTAAGTGTTTATCCCTTCTTGCACGGAAAAGGCTCAAAATATATTTATAAAAAATACCCGATACAAGGGCTTCACTCTCCTACATTTATTAAAAAATGTAGGGGAGGCACACGGCCCCACACACGCCGTGCACGGTGAGCGCCAACCATTTTGATGCACTCCCCCCGAAGGGAACGCTAATTCGGGAACTGGACCGTAGTCCACAACAAAATAACTGGCGAACCAGTAAAAGAGGCTTGGCCCCTTGTTAGTGCGTAAGCACAAACATCGACCGAAGTCGCGCATGTCAATGCGTGTAAACGCCAAACAGAATACGAACGAATCCAGCCACAGTGAATGTACGTCACACGGTTTAGGCAAATAGGCACACTGGCCGTAAACCCTCCGTGAGCGCCACCACCTGCCAGACCGCCGCTCCTGCAGACGTGATGTAAGTGTATGGCATCACCACCAATTGCATGATCAGCACGGCTACTAGCTGCAGAGCGTGTCATGAGTCTACTGCTCACCTCAATGGAATGGGGTCCCACGTTGAGCGGTTTACGGCTGCAGCCTTAAGAGTCTCCTCAGATCCACCCTCTAGCTACCACCCGCAATAGGTCGACACATATGCTCCACCAACCAATACAACGACAGATGTAGCCAAAAGGCATATAAGATAAGAGTAATAATTCGCCATCAGAAAGGGTTTGTGTCACTGACGTTAAGTAAAAGCATTTTCGATCATGTTTGTTTCACCCACCAACAAGTTGCCTTCAATCATTCAAAGGTGGGAAAGTTACAGAGATAATATACATAATATTATGTTGTTATATAAAACATTGTGGAGGGCAGACAGTCTGCAGCCCCATAATGAAGGGACCCGACTTAGGCAAAGCTACTCAGGCGTGAGTCAAACCAAGACGCAGAGAGCGGCACGCTGCAGAACGCAACAAGCATCAATACGACTATCGTCGGGCTTACACCATCCCAAGATCCCCCATACATCCCAGCAGACATCACTACCCGCATACCTCCATCGACCAGAACCACAAGAATGCGTCGAATCAGGTGCAGCACACTCGCAGATCCATCACAAGACGCATGACGGCAAGTAGCGGTAAGCATCAATGCAACTATCATACGGATGGCGCCCCCTCACAACACACCCACATGACCCCTATGGATTTTGGTAACAAAGTTTTTATTGTTGTTATATAAAAAATATCACCAACGTATCATATTAGCACGCTACTAAGACGCCAATGAACAAAATTCCACGTATCATAGCGCTAATGCACTAAGACATGAAGTTGAGTATGCCTGTTACACTTAAAAGTGCTACCAAACACACTCATCATCCCAATCCGAAAGATAGACGACACATCGCTATGCGCAACGACGTCGCCCACAAACAGTATGGGTGTGCGATTTCCACGAGAATGCCGTATTGCTACAACAAACCCGCTTACCACCGGCACTTAGATGTTAATTGTATACCTCCATCGACCAGAACCACAGGAATGCATCGAATCAGGCGCAGCACACCCGCAGATCCATCACAAGACGCAATACCGCAAGTAGCAGTAAGCATCAATGCAACTATCATACGGGTGGCGCCCCCCTCACAACACACCAACATGATCCCTATCGACTTTGGTAACAAAGTTTGTATTGTTGTTATATAAAAAATATCACCAACGTATCATAGTAGCACACACGCCACCATAATATTACTTTTGAAGTCCCTAATAAGGACTAGTCATTTTGCTACAGTACTAGGAGCAGTCGGTCACCCGACCACTCCATACAATGCTTATTCACCAAGGAGACCTTCTATAGTATTGCTTTTGTATCATACACCTTACTTTCATAAGTCATTAATATATAAGACTTCAACCCACGACCCCACTATTGTAATGCAAATTAATCATAGAGACCTTCTATAGTATTGCTTTTGTATCATAGACCTTACTTTCATAAGTCATTAATATATAGGGTTCGAACCCACGACCCTACTATTGTAATGCAAATTCATCATGGAGACCTTCTATAGTATTGCTTTTGTATCATAGACCTTACTTTCATAAGTCATTAATATATATAGGGTTCGAACCCACGACCCTACTATTATAACGCATATTCATCATAGAAACCTTCTATAGTATTGCTTTTGTATCGTAGACCTTACTTTCATAAGTCATTAAAATCGAACCCACTATCACACAAAGACTTCTAACTGATCATAGACCTTACTTTCATAAGTCATTAATATATAGGGTTCGAACCCACGACCCTA